GCAGTGGATCGATCCCAGACGCTCTGTGCTGCTCCCAGCTCAGCACATGGGCCAAACAAGCAGACAAGCCACGAGGGGCCATTTCCAGGGGGAGGCTCCAGGGAGATCTCCACAGCTCCCAGCCAAGCATGAGGTGTTGATGGGCTGGTGTTAGAATCCAGGAAACCATCTCCCATCCCTGGGGAGCTCCCAGCAGCGCTCACCCCCCTCTTCCCTGTCAGCCTGGGCTCAGTCCCCCAGGACTGGATGCCTGTGGGGGAAATTCTGGTGCTGCTTGCCCAGCTCCAAGGCATGGAGAGCCCAGGGGCAGAGCAGAGCTCTGTGTCCCCAGGGCCTTCCAGCCTTGTGGCATTTGGGGTGGCAAAGGGAATGGAGGAAGCACAATCATGGGATCAGAAAGGACACAGCTCCACAGTAGCCCAGGGGATTTTGTTGTGGCACAAAGCCCCACCAAGGCCAGGACACAGGACTGACTTCCATGAATAGACCTTGTGCAGATGGAGAAATGTCACTGGGAGAGCTGGGAGTGCAGCTGGGGTGATGAGCACAGCCCCTGAACACCACAGGGAGGTGATCTGTCCCTGCCCAGCCCCTCTGAGCTGCATCCCTGTGTGACTCCAAGGGTTTTATTGGCACAAGCACAACAGCACACAACACTTCCAGGGCTGCACAGAGGAGCTGTCCCACCCGTGCATCCTAGAGAAGGTTGTTCCTCCCCTGGAAAAACCTGAAGAGCCCAAATGCAAAGCACTCTGCTTCCTGAACCGGTGCTGGTGGTCACCATCCCTCCCAAGGGTCTCCCATGGCCAGGCCCAGGCTACTGCACCAGGAGGTCTCTGCTGGGCTCTCCCGTGGCACAGAGCACTGTCTGCGCTGGCACAGCCACACGCAGCTCCCTGCAGCACCAGGCAGGGGCTGTGCCAGGCTGCTGGCAGTGGTGCCACCATGCTGCATGGGCACAAACCAGCACCTTCATCCCAGGCACTAACCCAGCTCTGCCAGGCCTCAATTCCAGGGAAAACCCTGGGGCTGCCCTGGGAACAGAGCGAGACAGCAACAGAGCCCACAGGAAGCTTGTAAATCCATGCATGGCTCTGAAATTTGGGGTTGTTTTCTTCCTTGAATCCTCTGCTCGAGGCCAGCAGGAGCTGTGGCACCACTTGGGGTTCCCCAGAACCAGCAGCCCTCAGTCCCAACATGTCCCCAGGGACACCCTGTGTCCTGCAGGAGAAGGTAGGAAGCATCTCCCTGGGACAATGCCGAGCAGTTTGGAGGCTGATCCCACCTCCACGGTGTTTCGGTGGAATTGATGTGGTGTGAGGCACCACATGAGGCTTACAGGAGTCAGGGATGCCTCATTCCACACCAGAAGTGCCAAAATGTCAGCTGCCAGATCAGCTCTGCTGATCCCAAACCAGCCTGGCACACAGGCATGTCTTGGGCATCCTGCTGCTCACAGACACTCCCATGCCCTCGATTTCAGCCTGGCCCTGGAGCAGCTCCCCAGGTCCCTGGGGCAGGACAGTCCCCCCAGGCCACCTCCAGCCCAGCACAGACTCAGGGCTTGGACTACCCCGCCGCATTCCACAGCACCCACCAACACCTTGTGCCACAAGCACCCACTTTCCTCCTGGTCTCCCCATATCCCCAGGGATGCACAAGCCCAGAGTCCACGTCTGCTGCACCCTGCAGGGCTGGGATAAGCTGGGGAGCATGAAACACCCCGGATTAATTAAAACACACCAGCTTTCCTTAAGATGCACAAGGAGAAGGACACCCTATCAGTGCCAGAAGTACCTTCCGAGCCAGTGGGGCCACAGACAGCCAGTGGGGATGGGTTTGGTGCAACAGGCAGAGAATTGCCTGTGTGAGAGAGTGGGATGTGGCTGCAAACAGCAGAAATTTGGCACAGCCCAGCGCTGCCACATGTACTGCCAGAGCTGGCTGCAGTCACCCCTCCCAAAGCACCAGCACAACCACCCAGGGGGGACGGGGACAGGGAGCCCTGCCAGACTCTGACTGCTGACCAGCAGCTAAATTCAGGGGCAACACAATTCCTCTTCCAAACACCAGATCTGATGAAACATCACAACTTCCAGCATGCAGGAAGCAATGGAGCAGGTCCCACTGGGATGTGGCAGCCCCCAAACTCAGCAGGAGACATCAGGATCCCACACCCCAGGGCTGACAGGAATGGGCCAGCACGATCCCCAGCAGCACGATTACACCAGTTTGGGGCATTCAGATTCCAGACGCACGCTGCCTAATTTACGGTTTAATTAATAAATGGGGAATTATGCCAAGTTTATCCAATACTTTTGGATGCGTGATGTTATCAAAATCCCATTACTGATGAAGGAAGGCATGAAGAGCAAAATTAGCTTTGGCATCTGAAACAGTTCAGTCAATGCGATAACACAATTATTAGGGCTAATAATCAAAGAGTGCTTTGGGGAACGCAGGCTCGTGCAGGAGCTGAGATGAGGGCGTGACCAGGGAAGGGCCGGGTGCTCATCCAGGAGGGAAAGGCCGACTGCAGCCAAGGGCAAAAGCATTTTGCCGATTACACTCACCGGCAGCTCCAGATAAGTGGCACAGGGAAGGTGCTGGTGGCCACCAGGCCAAGGAGGAGCACGGCCGGGCACGGTGCCGAGCTGCACTGCCGGGAGTAGGGAATTAAAAAGTACAGGATTTTAAACCAGTGGGCACTGGGTCCCATCTGCACACTGGGCATTGATCCTGCTGGAGGACATCACGGCTGCCAGCTCGCAGCTCTCTGCGCAGCCCGGGGAAGGAGAAATTCCACTCGTAATGAGGAGCCGCAGTCATCCGGCTCCCAGAGCTGGGACTTTGCCAAAACCATGGTGAACTGGAGGAAGGACCTGCGGGGACTGGGAGTCCCGGCTCCCTTCAGTGGCCTCTAGCTTTAGCCCAGTGACTTACAAGCCCTGGGGCTTGTGGAGCAGGGGCAGTGCCCACGGGAGCAGTCAGCAGCAAATGCCACATTGGCCGTTTGGACGCCCCCTCCCCAACCATATTGATAATATATATCCATGTGCATGTATCCATAGGGTCTATATGACTGTATTTGTGTGTCCTCCCCCCTCTGGGAGCGCGGGTGCTGTGGGCAGTGGGGTGCAGAGCCTGGGTGGCCGGCAGCAGTGCTGCCAGTGCCGCTCAGCGCCGCTGCCATCGCCGGGCTCACCGGCAGCCAGGGACACGTCCTCACCCTGCAGAATCGGGGGCACCAGGGCTTCAGGCTGGCTCCCAGCAAGCAGGGCAGGGGTGCTCACCAGGGGAGGCCAGGAAAGGTGCCAGGGGATCAGGCAAGGTCAGACCCATTCCTGGACTGCACCCATAAGCAAAGAGGAGACATGGCATCACTCCAGGAGGCGCTTGGGTTTTGGGGCACTGGGGTGCTTTGTGTTCTCGAGCAGCACAGGTGACTCCCACTGCCACTGCTGGCCTCAATGACCTTGGGTGGATCATATCACCTCCCCCTTGATGTCTCACACTCCACCTGCCCACAGACCACCGCAAGCCGCACTTTCTCCCACCCAAACCCTGCGGCCAAAAGCCCCCGCAGGCAGCAAGGGCGAAGAACCCCGGGGATGCCCCAGGGGTGCCCCGGGGGTCCCGCAGCCCTCGGCAGCGTGCGGCCAAGGCGCTGTGCTAGCGAGCAATAATGCAGCAGGCTGGAGACTCCTGCCGGTGGCTGCGCTGCCGCTCGGGGCGTGCAGGAGTAACACCGCTGCAGCACAGCTCGGTACCAGCCAGCCTGCGCTCAGGACTGAAGTTTTGCTGCAGCACAGGAGCAGGCGGGGAGTCCAGCAGCGCCCTGCAGCTCCACAGCGCAAGAGGCTGTGCTGTCGGACACAATGCAGTGGGTGACATCCCGCAGCACCCCGGCCACTCTCACTCGGAGGACAGAAGAGCGCTGCGCCAAGGAGCGCCCGTGCAGAGAGAAACACAGAGGCACTGATACAGTTGGAGACCACGAAGCAATGGGTGACACAGACTTGTGTCCCCCCCCCTCTGCCACAGTCACCTTGCAACGCTGCCCGTCCCCTGCGCAATTTGCAGAGCTCCTTTGGGATCACTCTTTAAAACTAGGCTGAGGGGAGCAGCGATGTGCTGAGCACAGCAAGGGCTGCGGCACCCCAGCGTGACATCCCCGGCGCTGGACCGAACCCCCTGCACGCTGCACCCTGACGACACCCAGCCAGCGCAGGGAGTGCTGGAGGATCCCGGAGATGCTATAGCCACGGCGGGGGAGTCTAGACGGAGGGTCTGTCTGGAGCTGGCTCCTGGCCAGGCCGCTATGAAGAAGCCGTCAGTGCAGCGGGGCTTGTAGCTGCCCACGCTGGGGCCACGCCGCTCCCCGGGGTCCCAGCACCAGGGTGGGTTCCCCGCAATGCTGTGGGAACAGCCCCGCGTCCCCGCCACTCCCGGGGCCAGCACCCCAAGGGCACCCATTGTCAGGCATCCGCAGGGATGAGGAGCTGGAGCATCCCGCAGCGCCCAGAGGGCACCTTTGACCCGGCGCACCGCGCGACATCCTCGGGGTGGCCCCGCATTCCCAGGGGGTCTCACGTTTTTTCGGGAGGGTCCCCACGGCCCTGGGTGCTCTCCGCCAGTTCCGCAGCCTCCTGCATTAGTGGCCGTCCCCTCTCCATCCCTCCAGGCTCCGTCCCCAGCCGCCTTCTGGGCGCAGCCCCCCGCGGGCAGCCTCCGGCCGCTGGGCAGCTCTGGGACCCGTGTCCCGGGATGGGTTCCCGGGAAAAGCCCAGGTCCCTGCCCTGCTCCCGGCACCGGAACACGGCGAGGTGCACTACCCGGTCCCCGCGGCGCGTACTCCGTCCCACCCCACGGGGGACGATCGCACCTCGGGTGGCGGCGCCGGGACGGACTCGGCGGGAGCTCGGGCAGCCCCGTCCCGCAGAGTCCGCGCCGCTGCGGCAGCGGGGCAAACTTCGGCGGGAGTGCGGGCGGGCACTTACCGGCCGGGGCGGCGGCGGGAGCGGCGCGGTGCGGTGCGGTCGGTGCCGGGCGGGCGGCGGGAGCAGCGCTCGGTGCGGGGCGGGCGGGAGGGGAGCGCTCGGTGCGGCCGGTGCCGGGCGGGCGGCGGGACCTGCGCGGCGCTGCGGCAGCCCCGGCCCCTCCGGGCTCGCGTGCGGCGGCTCCACCAGGCTCCTCCCGCCACCGGGAGCCCCGCCCGCGGCCCCGCCCGCGCACCTCGGCCCGCCCGGCCCCCCCGGGCCGCGCATCGGGACTCGTGCGGGAATCGGTACCGGGCACCCCATCGGGCCACCTCATACCTGTCACCGGGCACCCCATGGGGTCACTTCACACAGGGCACCGGGCACCGGGAAACCCCCACTGGGGTCACCTCACACCGGGCTCTTCACATCAGCACCGGGCACAGGCACCGGGCACAGGCGCTCCGCCTCGGGGTCACCTCACACATAGCATTGGCACCTGGCACTGTCAGCAGGAGCTGCCATCAGGCACCTCATACCGGGCACTAACAGCGAGCACCAGCAGCAAACACTTCACAACAATCACCTCGCACTGGTCCCTTCTCAGCAGTGACCTTGCGCAGATCACCACCCCCCAGTCACCCACCCCTGTGGCCACCACCGCCGCAGGTGGTGCCAGGTCCCTGCTGCGGCCCCAGGAGAGGCGCTGGAGGCAGCTGTGGTGGTGGCACCTCTATCGTGCCTCCCCCCAGATCCAGAGGGCTCCTGGGAACCCAGCTTTGGTTTAGAGCCAAAACATCAGGAAAAAGATGATGGGATTCAACTGAGGAGCCTGGGTGAGGAGCAGAGGGGCAGTGGGGGGACAGTTTTGCCCATGCTGTGGGATCCCCTTCCCAACAACAGTCTCCAGTGGGAAAAGGGAGCCCTTGGACAATCTTTACTCCCCATACATGACCCAGGGACAGGGAGGGACCCTGGGGGTTCACCCCAAACCACCCTAGCTGAGGGTCCGTCACCTCCATTCCAGCAACCCCTGGTCCCAGTGTCGCAGCCAGAGCATCTGAACTACAGAGGGAGGTGGCCAGCTGCTCCAGCCGCTCCAGCCGCTCCAGCCAGACACTCTGGAGGGGTGGTGCCTGGAGCAGGGAGGACATCCCGAGGTCCCAGCCCAGATGGGAGCTGCATCACCCAAAGCCTCTGCACACCCTAGTTTTGCTGCAGCAAAACCCCCTCCCAGGCTTGCACCAGTCCCCGACAACATCACAGAGACAGGCACGAGCTCCCACCGCGGGCAGGGGAAGGGCCCTGCATGGGGCCATATCCCCAGAACAGCACCTGGGGGCTGCTGGGGGTTCGGGGGGTTCGGGGTTGCCCGATCCGAAGGGACCCTTCCCTGCCCATCACCCTTGCAAAGGGCGGCTGAGTGTTCCCAAACGCAGGAGTCCGACTGAAATTGAAGCGTCAGCATCATCCCCGTGTGGTCCTTCTGCATCCCCCCCAGCCCCGCCCCATGGCTCGGAGCGCTCCCCGTGGCTCTGAGCCGTGGCAATTCCCACAGTCACGGTGCACGGGACCCTTCTGCCTCTCCCCTGCCCCCTCTGCTGCCTGCACAGGGTTTGGAGTCAGCACAGGCCGAGGGGCACGCACCGGGCACATCCCTGTGGCCGAGCGCCACCGAAACCGGACCCACTCTCCGTGTCCGGGACTCGTGTGAACTCGCCCTGCGGGAGGAGCGGAGCCGATGGGCAGAGCCCTCTCCTGGCCCTGGATCCGCCACTGCAGCCCCTTACAGCTCATCGCCATCCCGTCATTAATTAAGGGCTCCTGAAGCATCTGTCCCTGCTCCAGCATCGCTCTCCGGAGGGGAAAACAGATTTGGAGACGCCACGGGACGACTGGGCCCTCCCTGCCTGCTTCAGCCTCCAGCCGTGCTCTGCTGCAGGGCAGAGCGACTGGGTTTGCACAAGGGACACCGTCCCACCTCTGTCCCCTGTGCTGGTGCGGCATCTGTCACCATCATGTCCTTTCAAATGGGAGATTAGATCAGAGCTGGTGAGGCAGAAGGGGCCCTGAGAACGCCCACCCGCCGGAGCCCTCCTCCCCCTCCTCCCCCGCTGCTCGCCTGGGGTAGGACCTGTCTCTCCTGCCCCAGGAAATGGACCTCCTGCTTTCCACCTCCTCAACTGTGAGGATTCCAAATCAGGAGCATTTTTGCCCACCCCAGACTTTACAGGAGTGCGACCTCGGGAGAGAGGTCCCCAGTCCCTAAAACTGCTCCCAGCATCCTGCAAAACAGCTAAGATTTCAACCCAGGAGCATTTCTACTAAGGCTCCCTTCCCATATTTTGCAGGAAGGCAACTACCAAGGAGAGGGGTAGGTGCTTTGAGGGTTTGAGCCCCTCTGCTCTGGAGACAGGCTAGGAGAGATGGGGGATGTTCATCCTGGAGAGAAGACCCTGGGGAGAACTTAGAGCCCCTTCCAGTCCCTCTCCCTTTCAAGAGAGCTGGAGGGACTTTGGACAAAGGCCGGGAGGGACAGGACAAGGGGGAATGGCTTCAAACTGCCTGAGGGCATGGTTAGATGGGATATTGGGAAGGAAATCTTGGCTTTGAGGGAAGTGAGGCCCTGGCTCAGGCTGCCCAGAGAAGCTGTGGCCACTCCATGCCTGGAAATGCTCAAGGCCAGGGGCTTGGAGCAACCTGGGATAGTGCAGTGTCCCTTCCACCAAGATGAGGCTTAAGGTCACTTCCAACCCAAACCATCATGATTCTATGATGTGCACAACTGCCCTCCCCTCTGCCACACAGGGACAGAGCCACAGACACAGGACCAGGAGCCGACAGTACAGGAGATCACTTTATTGAATCCAATGGTGTTAGACAGACGACTGAGAAGAGACATGCCAGTTGGTGCGGGCAGTGTGGGCAGCAGGAGCTCACTTGGTTGGTGCAGGGCTGGATTTGTTTCTGTCTTTTCAGAATATCCTCAAGCCTTTTCCTGGCTTCCTTTTATGCTTCCTTTAAAATTTCTTTGAAGTAAAAACAACTAATCGTGGAAAGAGTCCAGATGGTGTTTGTTTGTTCCCTATGATTGTTCCCGCAGCTATATACAACGTGGGGCTGGGTCTCAACATCAGGTATAAAATGGAGCGAGTTTACAAACGTGGAGGGTGCAAGGAAAAAGCAAAAACAGACAGGCGTGAGTAGAAATCTGGACCAAAATCTTAAAGAGAAATTTAAAAAGTGCTATAAAACCCCTCAGCAGGAATACCATGCAGTTAAGAAACACAAAACCCAGTCAATTACACAGATAATCTAGAACAGGAATTTGTCCATTTCATCTTTTATTTAATTAAAAAAAGGTTGTTTGTTTATTAGAAAAAAGCTAAAATTTTAAGGTTCAGGCCACCAGGCAGCAGCAGCTCGAGGGGGCAGGAGGGTGAGGCACTGGCATCACCCACCTCCAGCCCCTCAGGGGGACTCCCAGGGACCATGGGCACCTCTGGGGGCAACTGGCACCTCTGGAGGTGACAGAAACCCTTGTGGGGTGGTGGGCACCTTTGGGGACAACAGGCACCTTTGGAGGTGGCAAGAGGATGAGTTAGAGCAATTCTTGGACCCTTTCCCTGGGGACAGAGGGGCTCAGCCCATAGCCAGGGGTTGGCCCCCAGACAGCTGCCAGCCTTGGGGACATTAGGTGCTTAGTGTAAGCCAGGAGGAATCCATCGGGATCTGGGCCCTCCAGCCAGGTAACCCCAGCCAAACCCCCCACCAGCTGATCCCACGGCCCACCAGCTGGCACTGCCCTTCTCTTTCCCCCTGAGATTCCTCCTGGATCACAGCCCCACTGCCCACTCACCTCCAGCTGCCAGGGCCGAGGTGATGGGATGAGGGGCAGCCCTGATCTGGGGAGGGACGGGGCAAACCTGCAGGACACAGGCCAGGGGATGCTCAGCAGTGGGGGACGGCCACAGTTTGGTCCAGGTTTGGGTGGCTCCTTGGAGGAGTCAGAAAAAGAAAGCTCAGGCAAGGCTGCCCCTCCTCCCATGGGACTCCTCAGGGCACCTGGGCACAGGGCAGCCCCCAGAGGTGCATCAGTCCCTTCCCACCCTGGGCACCAGAGTCCCAGGGAGGGTGCGAGGGGCTGGAGGGAACAGCTGCGTCCCCATTGCAGACCTCGAGTGGCTGCTGGGCCGGAGTCTCATACAATCAGAAAAGAAGTCAGCACAGCACAGTCATCACAGAATACAAAAAAAACCCAAAACCAGGGACAAGGCGCAGGGCCGGCCCCCCAACCCACACAGGGCGTTCCACGACGGATCTATGTACAGCGAGTCCTCGACAGAAGAGAAGGCGAACAGAAAGCCCTAACGCCCAAGCCAGCATGGGGAAGAGATCCCGAGATCCCCGTGGGAAGGGGCCGGGCTGGCCCCGGCGGCAGCAGGAGCTGTCGGACAGACGGGGAAGGGGAGAAGTGAGCACCATGGGGCGGCGGGGCAGGACACACCGGCCAAGAGCACCGAGGCAGAGGTGGCAGCAGCCTCCGAGGGCACTGCGGGAGATGCCCGCTCCAGAGGGGTGTGAGGCACCCCTGAAGGCCACACCAGCTGCGGCACAGGGGGCTGAGGCTGCCCCGTCCCCAGCCTGGCAGCTTGGGGACAGGGTGGGCTCAGCTGATCTGGCCCTGGGGTCACCTCTCCTCACGTCTCTCCAGGGCCCCACAAGAATGTGGGGGCTGAGCTGGAGGGCAGCAGGGAGGAAGGGGCCCCCAGAGCCCAAGTGGGCACAGGATGGGAGTGCAGACCTGCAGGACACCCCGCAGCCATGGCCAGCAAGGGTGCTGCAGGCAGCAGTCCCAGCACCTTCATTCCATCCCAGCGAAGCTGGCTTTGGGCACAGAGGACACTAGAGCTGGGGCAGGCTGTGACAGCATTGCCCCAAGCCCCTCGTGCCCCCTTCCCACATGGCCAGAGATTAAGGCACCACAGCAGCACCGGGGCCAACCCTCTCCATGGAGTCTGGCCTTTTGACAATGTGGGATAAGGCCAGGAGGACACATGACAGCCCCAGGTCCCCCCAGAGCACCAACACAGACCCTGCC